GACAATTGGCATGGACTAGTAGGATTTAAGCATCCGAAAGTGTGTGCGACAATTTTCAGAAAAAAGCCTTGATGCCGTTTAATGGCAGTAGTGCAATTCGAAAACTGAACCGCTGTTTTGCATAATTCACTAGTCGCGCATGTTCTGCTTCAGTGACATAGGAAGCCGACTACTTAACAAAGCCAGACTGAATTTTCGTCATTGTGAAAATGGAAAAATAGTATGCTATCCATGGGGTATACTCGCGTGTGCATGTAGGAGTTGGGGTCCCTCGTTTATTTTTAAACTAAAACATCAAAAATTCCTCATGTGCTCTGGTTTTAGGTAGGCAGTTCAAATTATCGGTTAGAAGTTCCGAGATAATCAAGAGAACATGTTAAAAGCTCCCCTTTTTCAGACGGTTGTTGAAGGGTAACATGCGTTATTTCATTTTTTACATTTTTAGTCGGAACTGACAGCTGAACTTATGCCTATATACCTGATAAACCGCCCAATGATTATGTTTGACATTACCCTACTGAATATTTCCTAGATAGTAGGCAGATGGGGTTGTTGTTTTTGTATCCTTTCGACAAGTCAAAAAGATGTTGTTTTGCAAATGCCCCTTACAGTAGTCTACTGAATACTTACCGACAATCTACGAAAGACGACTACCGGCTAGTCTTCCGTTCAAATTACGGGAAAATGGATATTTACAAAAAACGTCTACACACAACACACACATTCACCCTTCTACATCGGGTTTGATCGATCATGTGCCATCGATATACCAACCGGATACGTAACCCCAGCCTGCACCCATAAATGACAGTAGCGGGTCGAAACCGGTGCAAGTTAATCGTCGCAGTATACATTCCGCCAGGATATAATGTTATGTAATACACTGAAGAGGGTAAAATGAGTGCTGAAATGAGGAAGCATGCGCGGCAGCGGGTATTGCAGAACTTAAGTTTTAATCACTCTCGTCCACAAATTTCAGGCTCGCCAAGGAGACTGAACCATGCGACTACGAAGATTTGTTGCCACCAGCCGTCCCATCTAGCGTTTATCTAACGGCTCTTCCAGTCCGCAACACTTCGGTCGCAGAACCCGGAGTTCCCAAATTGCTTCCCGAAAAGGACGCCTTTTTGATGGGGACCAAGAAGCCGACTAATATATCCAATGTTGAAAAACAGTTGAAACCCACGACCGCTGAAAATCCAGTATACGTGGGACCACGCCAAGGTACGTTACATGTTATTGTCTGTGAGTATTTAGAAGACCAGATACCATAGGCTAAGTTAGTGATTCAGGAAGCTGTTTCACTTACAATAACTGAAAACGATTGACTATTAATATGCGGTTTTATTTCCTTTTATAGGATCTAGACACTTAGCCGTATTAATAAACTGGTCAAAACTGTAAGAAGAGAAAACGAAATCGTCTTTCGAACAAAATATAAACAGTAATTTTATTGAAGTAGGCTAAATTTTTAATCACATTTTGTCATTTGGATTCGACAATCAAGTGCACATTCGCTCACTTTTGCATTTAGATGACTTGGAAAATAATTACGAAGACGTCAGCCCAAATGCGCGGTACGGAATACGAAACGGCTGAAACTAGTTTTCCACGAGTATCCAGAAAACGTAATTTGTCATTTGATTTCAAGTACCAATATCCTACGCTACTGTTGTGCTTTCGCCGACTCCGATCCAAGAGCGCCAATATATCTTTGTTACACCAGCGGTTCTTTCCCAGTTCGGCGACCTTTTACCTTTGTTTCAACGAAGTAATCTATTCGGAAGTTTGGTCTGAGTCTGTACTCAAATATGTCATACTCCCTACGCAGGGAAGGTTTTTGCTGAACTATGAGAACGTCTTTACTACAGTCACCTTTAATGTTCCTACCTCAACCACTGATCTGGAGCTTTTTTCATGCCTGCATTCTTCGTTTTGGTTGATATGCCTTTTGGGAATGCTCGAATCCGTTGTCAGTGGGTCTTAAGCCGTCTTAGGTGATAGATTAAAATAGCAAAACGATGTTAAACAATTTGCTGGTCGCATTCTGGCTGGTATAGTTAATTCTCCTCCCTTGAGTTACTTGCAGCGAAGTCTTTCCTCTGTGGATTCCGACATACCTATTGGCATACAATGGCAAGTCATCATTACGTATTAACATTTCTAACACGAGACCTTAGGAGCGCAGAAAGACTGAAATAGGAAACCTACGGCTCAGGCTACCCCGATTAGGGCTGTAAAGGTTTATGTGAAATCATTTACTATTTCGCGTTTCCTCTGTTCATTTCCATCCCGGTCAGAGTTAATACAGGGTGTCCCAAAAAAATGTATACACATTTTAACTAATTGTGAACTTGATGAGTATTATAATTTTATTATTTCCAAAATGCCAAAAGATTAACAAGTATCATTTTATTGTTTCTCAACTGCATTTGATTATATTTTAAATAATTCAATTGAGAGAAGCCATTGAACATGAATGCATCCAAATAACCAGGGAATTGTTTCATGCTGTGTACGATTCCATTGCTTCGCGTTGTCAGCAGTGTCTGGATCAAAATGAACGTCAGTTTAAGAACATGCAGCGAAAAAACAATGAATTGATAACTGTTAACTTTTTTTAATTTTTGAAATAGTAAAATTATAATAAGCACCAAGTTTGCAAGCATTTAAAATGTGTATACATTTTTTGGGACACCCTGTAGAAAAATTGTAAGAAATTATTCTATCATAAGAAAACAATCCTTCTCTCGGTAAATGCTTTGCATAAAACTGTGTTTTGGCAACTTTTTTTTCAATTTGAGGAACTTTCGTGCTTACTTTCGAAGTGTTTAGTCTGCCCGCGTTTAATGGTACCGGAAGCTGCAAGCTGTTGCCCCATATCTTCGCTCAACTACCCTAGAAACGCGGACACTTTTTAAGTAGGACAACAAAGAAACATGTTTTTGTGAAGAAGAGGAAGACGCGATCTCTGGAAAGATAGTTATATTCTGAGCTTTCGGTTCCACACGAGAAGCCATCGTCAGATTAAATGAGAACGGTAAGCGTCAGCTACGCATAAATGGGGTCGGTAGGGGGGGGGTGGGGTGGCAATTATTAATTGGTCCACGCCACATCCATTCACACGCTATCTTATCGTGTGTCTCCTACGCACGTCCCTGGAATAAGGGCGTGTGACCTTGACATGGTAGCTTGCATGCTTGTAGAAGAACTGGGCCCTGGTTTCTGGTCATGGGCACGGATGGCAAAATAACAGGGC